ATGCTAAAATCATGCTCACTGTTGCCGAATTCTCAGACCGTTACACAAGGCCTGGTTCCAAATATCATCGAGTTATCCAAGGATGGAATCCTGAGTCTTCCGAAAAAGGTCGAACCGGCGTGTACCACTGTACGACCAACCAATGCATGTGAGTAGCAGCCTTTGAACCGCGCCAAGATTCAGTTTGCTGATGTAACCTTCAGGCTTGATTTTGTTCACTTCGGGTAGCACCGGGGAACCGAAAGGGATTATCCAGGAGCACCGGACCTATGCCACTGCCGTTCGAGATTATGCGAGGATCCTTGGTCTCGATGCAGGAACTAGAATGTATCAGTTTGACGACTATGCTTTCGACATCAGCAACAACGACTACCTTGTACCACTTTCCGTTGGCGGGTGTTGCTGCGTTCCACATCCACAGAAGGCCATCCATGTTCTGAAGCAGCATATGAACAACTTAGGTGCAAACGTATCCTTTCTTACACCAACAGTTGCCATTCAGTTGGGTCCAGAAGATGTTCCAGGCCTTAAAACACTATGCATTGGCGGTGAACCACCTTCGAACGACCTACTGTCGAAATGGGCCGGAAAGGTGAAACTCGTTAATCAATATGGCATGGGCGAAGTCGCTACGTTTTGCACGTACAACGATCAGATGAGCCCTGGCAGTGGAACCAATGTCGGACGCACCGGAACAGGCGCTGCCTGGGTTGTCTCCCCCGCATCTCCGGAACGCCTCATGCCTGTCGGCGCCGTCGGAGAAATGATCATGGAGGGCCCTCATCTTGCTCGCGGGTATCTTGACCAGATATCCAGGAAGTCTGAAGCCGGCTTCTTACAATATACGCCAAAATGGCTCCATGAGCTACATCCCGAGAGAGCATCCTCAGCTAGACTGTACAGATCTGGCGATCTTGTAAAGTATAACCACGACGGAACCCTGACTTACGTCGGACGAAAAGACACTCTATTGAAGATTGATGGCGGCAGGGTTGACGCCATCGAAGTTGAATACACTGCAAGGAAATGCCTATCACCGGAGGACTCCATTGTTGTCGACTTACTCGGCGCCATAGACGGCGTCGAAAGTCCCATTCTTACTGCTTTCCTTTACCTCGCAGACAATCCCATGAACCTAAGCGGCAAAGCCGGCCCCAACGAACCAATCACCTTCCCGAACTATCAACGACAATCACAGTGTATATTCGAAAGTCGAATTGATCAAGAAGACGATCGGTGCTACGTTACCAGAAATCCAAATCCCCACACTCTTCCTTCTCGTCGATCGAATACCGCGCACAAAATCGAACAAGACCGATCGGCGAAAGTTGCACATGCTAGGCCAGAACTACTACATGCCCCAGCGAGAAGCGCCTAGCGGAGGAGCTGGCGAGGGAAATCCGAAACTAGCGGCGGGCCGGGTTGCTCCGAAAGAAGGTCCTGTCCCTGTCAGCAACAGCAATGGCGGCATGAACGGGACAAAGAAACGACAGGTTCGTGAACTGGATGGTACGGACGATTTGCAGCCTAAGCGGCAAAAACAAGTGTGCTGATTTTTCCCTCCCTTCTTTTTCTTCTACTCAACTTCTGGGAGTTGATTTACAGGCTAGAAATTCAACCGTTACGTCTATTTGGCGAAGATTTTGGAATATTGTGCATTTTGTACGTTGAAAGAGAAGAGTCTGCTGGTGTTGGGGGGGGGGGAGACGATAATCGAGTTGCATTCAAAGCTGTGAACGGCGCTGGTCAGAGTTAGTCTTCTGTATATTTCTCTCTTTCGCTTTTCCTACCCTTGACTTTCTCATTTTTTTAATATTATTTTCATCTTCTCATTTGCCAGCCCACGCACAATACGCGGCAATAAGGGAAAAAAGGGTCTATCGATCCAAATATAGAAGTCTGTGACGGCTTTAATAGGTACTATGTACATGCACGCATATATGTTATATATAATATACAACGAAGTACAATATCTATCAGATGCCACAACAAACCACTCAAACAAGAGATTTCACCCACAAGCTAATGACCACCCAACCCCCAGGCCCGGGCCAGGGAAGGGAAAGGGACCGACTTCATTCCCTTAAGTAGTCATATAACCCCCCTCTCTCTCTCTTCCCCCCCCCCTTCTGCGGGCCTGAAAATTCTAAAAATAAGCAATCTTTCCCCATCCTCATCCCTCTCCGCAACAAGATCAAACCCACACTTCCTCAGCACACGAGCGGACGCAGCGTTCGCCTGATCAACTTGCGCCTCGATTTCGTTCGCCGCTACCTGCGCCGGCCAGAACCTGTCGACGAACGCGGAGACGGCTTCGGTTGCGTATCCCTTCCCCCATGCGGAGGGGAGGAATATGTAACCCAGCTCCGCGACTGGGTCGGCGCGATGCGTGCCTACGACTCCTATCATGGCCATCGGCGGGTTTCCACCAGCATCGATGCCGCCATTGCCGGCCTGGCACAGCTGACCATCATCTGTATTAGTCGTGGTGGCAGTGGAAGCAGTTGCAGGAGTCGTCGTCGTGGGTGATATCATGCCCGTCACAGGAGCAGGCGGTGAGACCACGTTGCCGGGCGATTCGATGGGCTGCAAGGATGGGGGGAGGAGGTAGACGGCGAACATCTCTGCGCGAGGGTTGTTTTGCCGTAGGACGCCAGACATGAACTCTCTGCTGTCGTCGAGGGATTTGCTGACGCCGCGGGGGCTGCCGGGGAACACCAAGACATGGGAACACAAATGGTGTCAGTTGTACGAGCTGTGATTCTTGTGGTTTTGTGTGTATGTTTCTGTGTGTGGTGCAATCAATTGTGGGGGGCTTTTTGATCTTTCTTGTTCTTGTTCTACTATTATTGCTTTTTTTTTTTTTTTTTTTTTTTTTTTTTTTTTTTTTTTTTTTTTTGCTCTTTTATCTCTGCGGTATGATTGAAGGAATGAGGGTGTTGGGTTGATTTAATATCAACGCATGTGTACGCCCGGCGCCCCGCGGACCTGCAACCCAAGCGAGAAAGGAGAGAGTGTATATATACAGAACATGCAAAGCGTCCGAGTACAAGTCATGCATACATATAGGTATGTAACTGGACATACGTGACAATTCAAGAAAAGGAGAGGGGTTGAGGCAGAGCTTTCTACACACCTCCACCTTGTTGCCGACGGATTCGACCATATGTAATGATACCCTTGCAAATGCGACTCGTCCAATCTCTCCATTCGAAGCCTCCTTGTCGTGAAGACATCCAGCGTCTTGTGTTCTCCGGTACCTTGCGTGGGAGACATGGTGAAATGGGCTCTGCGGGATGAGGGGTTTCTAGTTGAGTTAAATCAGTTAAAACGGACCTCTGTGCAGCGGGACGCGAGAAGTATTTATGTACTATGTTTTTCTTCTCCGCTGCTGGTGACTCTCGTATACATTAGTTCATATGCTGTCGTTCTAGGCTACTTTCCATCTGTGAGCGGAGTCCATTTGTAGACTAGAGCAGAAAGCTTGACAGGGGCACCATGAGGATATCGATGCTGCTGCGCGATGGACTCTCCCCGACGGGAACGACGTCGCAAAAACATTTACACATAGCGCAGAGCCAGAAAATTAACAGAAACTTAACCTCGAAGACTACCAGCTACCCCAGTATAAAATTAACATCACTCTCCTCTCTACTATTCTAGAAAGGACGTACGCAAATCGCGACCCATTTCCGCCGAGCCGCTAGCCACAGCTTGGCCTGTCTTCTGGACGTTACCGATGACGGGGGCGGCACTGACTGATTGGCCCAACAAAGCCTTGGGGGATGTTAATGCACGTCTGGATGATAACCAGGGGGCTCCAGGCAGGAGATGAGGAGCGTGTTGGGCTCATCCGATCCGCAGCGCACGGGGATACAGCGAGCGGCAAGGCGAGGGGTATGCCAGCGCTACCAGTTTAGAAAGGGTATTTTGGGAGTTGGCTTGGATCAGACTAGCATTCCGCAAGAGTCCATGGTAATGACAGAGAAAAGGGGGGTGAGGTTGGTAGTTCCAGTTTGTTTTTGGCCAGCAAGGGGTAAAATAATGTATCTCCCCCTTTTTGAGCATCGATAAATGTGTACGTTGAGCTATGATGAGGACAGGCCACTCCCGCTCTTCAAGGTGGGCTCGTCGTTGGGCGCGTCGTTGGGCGCGTCGTAGGGTGGGTTCCTGTAAAACTGCTGTTCCAGCCATCGACGGGAGTAATTTTGTCCTCTGCGGCGATGAAGCCAATCCTGATATGTAATTTTAAGAAGGCATCTGTGTGTAGAGGACATCATGTCGCAGATTGAAGTTTGCTATACCTCTCTTCTCCGGATCCCCCCATTCCGAATAAATGTAAATCTGACCCGAAATGATAATGCTCGTGGTGGACATCGTACAGGAGGGAAGCCGGGGCGAATAATCCTAACGGGCCATAAGAGATGGTCCCGAAAACAACGTCCTTTTTCGCAACGGACCTTCTGTGGGCTTTTGGCCACGGCTGGCAAAGACGGCTCTTGAACAATAGGCCAGGAAAGTATGAAGGGCGGACTGGGTGAGAAGGGCGTGCCCAATCCAATCTATCGAGCAGACGAGATGCGGGTGAGCAATCCCCCTTGGAGAGACGAAGAATGCGCTTCCATGTATGAAGCACAACCGTCAACAGAGCTAAGGAGTATATAGTAACCACGATACTCCAAAGCCCCCAGACGGTTGACCGCGTTGAAAGCAGACCACCAAAGGGGACTGAGCCACACGATATCGAATATGCTGGATAGTAAAAACTTGACGCGGAGTGAGTAAACCAGGATTCCACAAGAATAGTAGTATAGGTACGGAGTAGTGTGTATGGGACTGTAATCGTAGAGCAGCATGAAAGCCAATCGCTGCCGGGTATTGAAATACACGCTGTTACGAGATTGGCCCGTAATGCGCTGGTGGTCGCTGCGGCCTGCCCATGTGCGGTGGCTGGATCCGCGCAAGCACCGGCGGCAGACTTCGAGAGTTTCAGCGTTTCAGGTACCGCCAGGGAACGCGGTTAAAATTAGCCCGTAAAATACACCGCCCCCGTGACGGTGGCTGGCCCGTCGTACTGTGAGTGCTGAGCCGCCGCTGAGTCAGCACCCTGCTGCGCCCGAATCAGCCGCCGACTCCAGGCCCGAACCAAGAGTGAACCAACCTCGTTTAGGCTCAAACTGGCAGACAGATTGACCTCAGCCCTGAGTCCCTGGCAGTCTTTTGGCTTCACGTCTTTTCTTCGTTCTTTGTCTCTCCCTCTCTCCTGCTCTGCTTCGCAGCCGTTCGTCGCTTTTTCCACCGTCATAACTATCCTCCTATCCTCACCGTCCTCATCATCCTCCGTCCCTATCTCCGTTAGCTTCCTTCGTCGCCTGGAACTGGGTGCCAACAACCTCTTCGCACTCGCTTGATTTCCTTTGGCTTGTTGTGCTCCACCACCGACGCCCTGACTTCTAGGCCGTTCAGGTCTTCTTCGCCTTTTCGCAATCACTCCCTACGTTAGGCTTCGCCGTTAGATCTTGCCCTATTAATAGAACAGTTGCCAGCCCTACCTACCTACCCCATTCTGCCGACTCATACGACTAGATATAGAAAACCCCGAGGGTTCGTGCAACTCGCATATTTGAAACGGCCGCCATCCATTTCAGTTCTCTCCTTCTGTCGAAGCGTCACGTTCAATTTTTTTTAATTTTTTTTAATTTTTTTTTTTTTTTTTTTTTTTTTTTTTTTTTTTTTTTTCATCATGCGGGGTTTTGCAGATTCGTTCTGGACTCCCGACTATGCCAGCGGGTTGGGTGTCCTGATATCCAAGTTGCAGCAGGGAATAGTGGAGAATCAGCAAATACTCACCATTGCCAACATGCGTGCCGCTGCGGAGGAACAGTACAGCTCAAAACTCGGCGAAATAGCCCCCGCAATCGATCGCATGACGAATGGCTTTGCAAGAGATGATGGTGCCAGTGTCCGAAAGGTCGGTATGCTGAGCTGTTTTTGGCTGTAATTCCTTTGCTGATGCAATATTCTGTAGGCGTACGAGGGGATCCGCAGCGAAATGATCGAAGCGACAAAAAATCATCAGAAAATCGCAAACAGTATCCGTGAACTCGTCGTCAACCCCTTTGGTCGCTGGGCCGATCAGCACGAACTTCGAATCCTCAACAGCCAAGAAGAGCTCCAGATCAGGATCAAGGAGCACTATAAGCAGTCAGAGACCGTGAAGAAGCTGAGGACCCAGTACTTCAACAAATGTCGCTTGGTCGAGGACTTGGAAGAGGAGAACAAATTGGCTTTTCAAAGCCCCGAAAAGGAGAGTGCTGATAGCCCCAAAGGTGCGCCTCCTCATCCACCAACCATCGTGCTTCCTGATGCTTCAGAAGACTTCGAACCGGTGGAACTGGGGGACAAAATTTTCCCACCAGAAGAGCTCAAGAAACTGTTGACTCATATGTTGGAATCCATTAAACTCGGGGAGGTTAAGTTTCCCATTTTAGGCACCTATCAAAATACGTCCACTGGTGCAGACATTGTGGACTTTATTCAGAAAAGCATGGGTGCGTCGACCGTCAGCTATGCGGAAAGAATCGGCCAAGATCTGGTGGACAATGGCTTCTTGCGCCTTGTTGGAAACGTTGGCAGCACTTTTGCCAACAGCTCGAGAATGAATTACCAGTGGCGTTCAAAATCTTTCCAGATTTCAGGTATTCCTGAGAAAAAGAAGCCGCTGATGCGGGTCACATCGATGGGGTCTGGAGGCGACGAGGTTGCGGATTCTCCCACTGCTGTTGCCGTTGCTGATTTATTCTCCCAATGGAACCCACTTAATAACTCGAATCCTAATGAGACCCCCGCCCAAAAGCTTCGACGCGAAGCCCGGGAAGCCGATGAGCGATACAAGGCTGCAGTGAAAAAACTCGACCGCTTACGATGCCATCTTGAGGAAGAAATGATAGACTATCTCAAGTTCATGGAACGCTGTGAACTAGATCGTTTGAAGGCTATCAAAGCGGTTGTGTTAGATTTCTCGGGAGCAATTAGCAATGTCGTTCCGTCTCTGCGCAGCACAGTCGACAAGATGATGCTATATCAAGAGACTATCCAGCCCCTTGGAGACCTGAGATATTTGTTGGAGAATTATCGTACTGGAGCATTTGTTCCCCGCGTTCAGCCTTATGAGAACTATTATGGCAATGTTGACGGTATTTATTATCTCTTTTAACCATTTATATTGGTTTCGGAGAAAGAAAACAAAAAGAAGTGATAGAGAAACTAGTCTAACTGAATTCCAACACAGAACAAACCTTCGGTGTAGATCTGGAAGCCAGGGCTCGGGCGGATAGGAAGCGTGTTCCTATCTTGATTACAACTATCTTGACCTATCTTGACAATCGTAAGATCATCAGACCCCGTTGTTTTAAGCTTCCCCAGCATCTAACCTTGGGACAGACTATCCGGACCTCGAGGGAGACGAAGCGCGCCGTGCTATTTGGCTGCATGAAGTTCCTCTCGTCGTCTCGCATCATTTACGCAATGCTTTGAATAATGGAAAGCCATTTAGCCATGAAGTTTTAGAAAAATACGACATACCCGTTGTTGCGAATGTTTTGAAATTATATCTTCTTGAACTCCCTGGTACATACCATCCCACTGCTCGTTCCTATGTTAGCTTCCTATACGCTAATAGATTCTGTAGATTCTCTTGTTTCGTCTCAGGTTTACGAAATCGTGAAGACGATATATACCACAACAAATGAGGCTCCTGCCGAAAGTCGCGTCAAGGTTCTTCAAAGTACTCTTGGACAGCTCCGCCTCAACAACATCGCCACTCTTGACGCTATCATTACTCACTTTACTCGCCTGATAGACCTCACATCCGCAGACGAAGCCTACGTTACAGCCCTAGCACAAAATATGGCGCCTTGTATTCTCCGCCCACGGCTCGAGAATAACCTCACCATGGATGAACGACACAGCTACCGCCTCCTTCGCGACCTGTTCGACCACAAGGATGAAATTTTTGGCGAACTGAAACGCCAATCAAGCACGTTGGGTAGCCTCGGGCCAGGATCGAGACCCCGCGCCATCAGCACTGACGAAAGCAACCGGCGCGCAAACATGGAGGCCCGCCAACGAGCTATCGTCGATCGCAGCCGTGCCAATAGCCCCGCCCCCGCCAACCGGCACAGACGTGATAAATCAATCGGCGGCGAATCGACCCGCTTCCCTGTCAACGTCAGCAGCCCTCCTGCATCTGCCACGGGCCGAGGACCTCGCCATAGTCTCGAGGTCCCAGATTCAGCCGGCTCGTCTCCAGCCGCAGATCGTACCGGCAAACCCACCATTCCATCCGCAACAGTCCGCGACTCCATAACCACCAATGGCAGCGCCGGCGCCAGCACCGTTGGCGGCGACCACGCTGCAACAGACAGCATTAGCTCGACCACCACATTATCTGACCCCCACGCGCCCGCCAGTACTGTCAACAACGTCATGGAGAAGAGCAATTCCTTATCCCGTTCGAGCGGGCGGTATAGCCGCATCACTGGGTTAAAGCGCGATAGCGTGGCAGAGAATGACAAGGTTGCATCTGAGGCTCCGAAACCTGCCGGTGTGACATTGCAGGATGCGCCGATGGATGACTAAGGTTTGAATGAGTCGTAGTTATGTGGAGTGTCGTGAGTGTGGATGAGTGTCGCTACGTGCGTGGAGTTGTAGTTAACGAATTGAAATGACCAGGGGCTCTAGGGGATTTTTAGGATTTACTATCATTTGTTCGTTGTCTATTTGTTCGTCAGTAGTGTCAATCGGAGGATGAATTGTGGCACTGTGTGGATTTGTGAGCGCGGGTGATCGACTGCTGCGTGGATGTATGGGCGTTTTGTCTTCTTTGCCTTCCATTTTCTCTCTTTCGTTTCATCTTATTTTTCTACGTCTTTGGCGGTTGATGATATCCGAATCAGGCTTGCTTTCCGTATCATGTACTTCGCTGTGGATTCCGATGATGATTTCTCGTGTTTCCCTTCCCCCTTTCGTCCCTACGAGTCTCTTTAGGGTTTTCATTTTATATATATGTTTTTTCTTCCTTTATTCTTTTTCTACTTCCTTTACTATTTTCACTCATATTCGAAATCCCCACCCCCGTCCCCCAAAAATATCTCAACCTCATTCCGCTCTCGCCATTAACCAGGTCTTTGTTCCCTTTGTGTCAATGTCGTAAGGCCCCTTCGATCTATACCCCCCTGCTTGTGATTTTTTAAGATGTTAGGAGTTTCGATTTCCCAGTACATAGATGTTTTTATCCATGCCGCGCATGTACTGTACGAGTGAGATCTATGCGTTTGATTCCCGCAGTGCACGGCATCTACTATGCGAACCACACCCTCTTTTTTCTTTTCTTTTCTTTTTAATTTTCTTTTTCTTTTTTATTTTTTATTTTTTATTTTTTATTTTTTTTTTTAAAAAAAAGTCACAGACTAAACCTGAGTAGATGTAGGACTTATGGGAGGCCAGATTGGATGAATCTGCTAGACATTTATATATACGTGTGATAATCCCAGTATGTAGTAGTAAAAGCTCTCGGAGACCTTTTCATTTTCCCCCTAGGGGGGAACCTGAAGATGGGGCGGGAGGAGACGAACGTTATGAGGGCATTGATGCATGTCGGATGTCAGATCAAACAGCAAATGAATCGTGAGGAAGATACAACTGTATTTATACTTCAACAACCATAACACATGATAGACACACACTGTGGCCAATAACAATTCATACAAAGACAAACGCGTTCAAGAAATAAGTAAAAATAAATAACTATAAATATAAATATAAATTAAAAAGGTTGCATATACATATGTAATTCATCACATCATACTATTTCGCATATCCGGCGCAAATACACGAAAGGGACTCGAGAAAACATCCAGTGCTTTTGGGACGCTTTTGGACTTCCTGCTCATCCTGGTGTTCCCGGCAGGGCTGAATAAAAGGATATGGTGATACTTAAAAATCATCATAGGAAGGAATATGAGGGGTTGGCTGCACTGCCATAACCGCTACGCTACGTAAATCGGCTAGGGAATGAGGAAAGAAGTACGGCCGGACAGGCAAGTGACATGAACATGGAAAACGATATCACGAATGCGTCGAACGGGTCGGTCATGTCGATTTCGGTTTCTGGCCGTAAACGACAACACTAAATTTTAACAGGCACCGGCGGCCGGGGGAAGGCCAGAGGAATCGGGTTATTAGTCCACAGATGCCATAGGAAAAGGGAAGGAAGGAAGAATTGAATATCAATAGTAAGAATCACGAGACTCACATGGGCCAATACGCATGAATTTTCGGATCATGCAAATCCTTCCTCACCGATGTCAGATATGCAAGAATCTGGTTCTTTTCCCAGCCCAGCCCCCGCGTCATCAGCGCGAGACTGAGCCCTTCAAGCCCGCCGCCGATATTCGCCAGTGTCCACAGACCCACCAGCTTATCCTTGCGGTCCTTGGGCCAGCGGTTAGTGGGCCATTTGAAATTTAACACGTTGACGTTCGTGAAGCCTGCATCGATGAGGGTTTCGCGATGGTTTTTCGCGGCATCCAGGGGCCGGCCGAGGTTGATGCTGGCTTGCAGAAGCAGGTCGCTGAATTCTTTGAGGGCTGGGCTTGTATCAAGGGTGCCGTCATCCGAGGCCATTGGGAAGATGCAATCTATTAGTTCCAGGTAGCCGCCAGGGACCAGGTGTCTTTTTGATGTTTGCCGAATCGGAGAGTAGCCATTGGGTTAGTAGGTAAGTTGTGATGGGGAGAGCGACGGGAAAGTTCCAGTGTTCATCATCGTGAAAAGGACAAGTGGAAATCAAGGGACATACTGGTATGCCTGGTCAGCAAATCGGGAGAAATCTGCAAAACTGCCAACCATCATCCGACTAAAAATGTAGTCGAAAGGCCGCGTCCATGTCCAGTCCTTTTCCAGATCGTCGATTTCAAATGAACAATTTGGGGGTACGCTATCAGTACATAGTTAGCTCAAAGGTCTGCCATTCATGCTCTACAGTTTAGAAAGGAAATAATACCATCACATACTAGAATGGCTGAATGGGGCTCAGGTCGACACCAACCACCTTTTGGAAGGGACGAAGACATTAGACCAAGGTTATTCACTGTCTGTGAGAAGAAATAAAGGGGTATTATTGCAAACGGAAGTGGTCGAACCTCTGCAGAAGGGTGGGCGTCGGCTAAAGGTGGGGGTTAGCAGTAGGATTTATAGGGTTTCAGATATAGCGTCCATGGACAGAAAGACGGTAATACGCCTTACCAAAATCGATAGCCCAGATACCAGTTCCTGTGCCTACGTCTAGGACACGCTGTGCATACTCTGCACCTGGGGCAAAATGCATCTTGCCTCCAAAGGTAACCAGGAAGTGGTGATTTTGCATATCTTTTTGGTCCGACAATGTCAGCCAGTTTTTAAACAAGAAGACATGTCCGTGACTGTATGCATTGCATACCTAGTCGGTCCTTTTCTTCCTGCAGAAATATGAAGTGTTAGCAAATCCCTTACTCAGTTACCCGGACGCGTAAAACAATTTTTTTTTTTTTTTTTAAAAAAAAAAAAAAAATTAAAAAAAAAAAATAAAAAAAAAAAAATTCAAAAGGTTCTCGGTCTTACCTCGTCATTAGGTAGGATATACTCTGTGGGGTTTCGGTTAGCACCTCCTGGGTATAATACGTAGGGGGTAGGGTAATGAGCAGAGGAACGACTTACTCCCCACGCTGAGGGAGTGATATGTCCGTCCATTTTCGACCACAAAGTCACGGACGCTCGATGTCAATGATGCAACAGATAGCAAGTCGTCGTTCTAAATGCACGTGGGGATGAGCATGATTTAACATCAAGCCTTTCTGCAACACGGTATACCCTACTTACCACGGCAACTGCAGAATCCTCATCGGAATCAGGGAGCTGACAGGTGGGTCAGTCGTCGATCAAACTCAGCGGGTATGGCTAAGCTCAAGCCAAGGTATATTACATACCAACAAAGGCGCCTGATGGACTGTGTGCCCAGAGTCAGAGGCCATGGTTGTGACATAGACATGCAAACAACAGCAACAGCCCTGGAATAATAACCACTATTCCCCGTGTAGCTGAGCCGACAAGAAAAAGATGTTGAGGTCGAAATGGGAGATGAGAGGCGCCGCCGTCCCATATCCACCAGATTGCTCTTGAACTCGGGGACTAATCCCTCTCAGAGCCCGGTTCGAGGGAAGCGAGAAACTAAATTGATTGGAGGAGATGCACACCAACGCGGCTAGCTTTCCCAGTTCCCCGGCGCCGTCTCTTAGGACGCCGGGTTTGTATGGAGGGGTGGCCACGTTGATCATGGTTCAACAAAATGATCATTGGGCGCCTGTGTGTTGGGATACAGGGCCAACGGGCGATTCCTGATATTCATCTTTGACCAGCCAGGAGGGGTCAAGGTCAGCAGCATGCTCTGAGTGTCATCTAGACCCAGCATAAAGAGCGTTCGAATTGTCGTCGACTCGTCGAGGAAACCTTCTGAAAAATACTATCGTTCTCCTTAAGGTTTATCACACTAAACCACTGTCCCCATCATTTTCATTGTTCTCAGAGTGCTCCAGTCTGCTCCAGTGGCAAACCCTGTCTGTCATGCGGCTTTTGTTGCTTCTGGTCTCATCGCTTGCCGTAGCGTACCTTGTCGTTCGGCGACTGCAAACCTGGTACCGCCTGCGGCACATCCCAGGACCGCGATGGTGCGGGTGGACTGATATTTGGATCCTCTGGCGTGCATGGACAGGATCCTTGTACGAAGATCTTGGTGACCTGTGCCAACAGCATGGTACGTAGGGCTCAACCATCCCCCATTCAGAGGACAACTCAATTTTGAGACTCGCATTCGTTTTACCCGGGCCGCCGCTGTCCCGATCCCAAAACTTAAGCTTGCCATTGATGTCACATCTTTGACTGACTTTTGATCCGTGCAACCACAGGACCGCTTGTCCGGGTCGCGCCTAATTATGTTGTCTGCGGTAATCCCGCCGAAGTGCGGCGGATGTGGGGAGTTCGTTCAGAGTGGGACCGCTCGCCCTGGTACAAGGGTTTCCAGCTCGATCCTCCGAGAGACTGCACGCTGTCCATGCGCGATAATGCACTGCACACCGTTCTAAGATCCAAGCTGGCTCCAGGCGTAAGATCCCTCCGCTGCTCTGCACTCTGGGCGCCGAAACCTTTTCAGATCGCTGCTGAACATTCCCTCCCTTCTCTTAGTACTCCGGCAAGGGAATAGAATCTCTGCCCGAATCTGTAGACGCGCAAATCGCTAAATTCATCCGCCTAATCGAGACCAAGTACCTGTCCACAGACTCGGAGCTGCGCCCAGTCGATATTGCGCGGAAAGTCCAGTATCTTACCCTTGATGTGATCTCGACCCTTGCATTCGGGCGCACGTTTGGCTTCCTGGACAAAGATGGGGACCTGTTCGATTATATCAAGACCACGGAGGAGTCGCTGCCGCTCATGCAGATGATTGCGCTGCTGCCGTGGCTCGTGAACGTGTTGCAGTCGCGTCTGTTCAAGGCATTTCTACCGTCGCATACGGATGTTGTTGGCGTGGGGAAAGTTATGGGGTTTGTTTTCCTTTTTCACCTGTTGGAAAGTGTTGGGAAACTCAGGGAATGAGTAACTCCATGCTAATAAACGAAATCCAAATTACCCATCTCGCAGCATTGCCAAAGAAGTCGTCTCAGAGCGATATGGGGATAGCAAAATCACCAAGCCAGACATGCTGGGTTCGTTTGTTGCCCATGGCCTCAGCCAGAGGGATGCTGAAGCGGAATCCCTGGTCCAGATGTAAGCATCTGCCCTCTATCTAGATATATATATATATACATATACTGCCACCAACAGTCCTGTTACAAACAACCTAGCGCGCATGAGCATGAATAAATAAAACAAATCTAATACCTTTCGCCCGCCCAGCGTCGCCGGCTCCGACACCACCGCCACAACCCTCCGCATCTCGCTCCTCTTGCTCACAACCTCACCCAGGACATACGCAACTCTCGTCTCAGAAATCGACACCGCCATCTCCCGGGGCAGCATTTCCTCACCAGTCACGGAGGCCGAAGCCCGCAGCCTCCCATACCTGCAAGCATGCATCAAGGAGTGTTTCCGCTTCTGGCCCCCGATCACAGGGATTATGCCGCGCATATGCCCGCATGAGGCCGTGGTGTGTGGCGTGAAGGTCCCAGGGGGTACCAATGTGGGATGGAGTGCTAGAGCGGTGTTGAGGGACAAGGAGGTGTTTGGAAAGGATGCGGAGGTCTTCTCGCCCGCCCGGTGGTTGGAGAGGGCGGATTCCAAGGTGGGGAATGGGGCCGGGGAAACGGAGCGGTTGGGTCGGATGGAGAGGACTGTGGAGCTTGTGTTTGGGCAGGGGAAATGGGGATGTCTGGGGAAGCCGATCTCGTTGTTGGAGATCAACAAGGTGCTTAGTAGGGGTCTGTTCTATACCGAACCAACGTCCCTTGATTCTTTTTTTTTATTTTCTCTTTCACATATAATCCCCTCTCCTGGATAGGCTAACTCGGACCACGCATAGTTATTCCCCCGTTTCACCTTTCCCATCCTAAACCCCCCCCACCCAATGGATCCCTTCAACTATGGCGTTTGGATCCAGTCAGGATTGTTCAGGAAGATATCGCGGGGGGCCCATATCCAAAACCCGCCCGAGTAAGAATCCCGGGCGGGAATAGCATCAAGGCCCCCCCCCCCCCCCCCCCCCCCCCCCCCCCCCCTTCCCCCCTCCTCTCCCCAATACCAACTAAATAATTCAGACCATGGCTAATGCGATAATGTGATACGGTGCAATGCGACACACGACATGAGGTGCGAGGCCGTGAACGTAAATAGTACCCATGGATACCTACATTCCTTCATTACTCACGAGTGGATGATATGAGTCGATTCTCTCTATCTGCCCTACATCTTCCTTTGTCCCTCCTTCTCTTGCTTCTTCTTCTCTTGCTTCTTCTTCTCTTACTTCATCTTCTCTTGCTTCATCTTCTCTCTTTATTCATGCCTGCGAAACACGAATGGAGCTTGCGATCTGCGGACGCCCCTCTATATGTACATGTACCTTACTACCGTGTGCTAGCCGTAGCTGCGCCCTATCATTCTTGTTTTCAGCGGGGTCGGCTTTAGTCTGCTTGTGTCTCCTTTCTCCTTTCCCCATCCAGCTATCTATCTGGTGGGCTTTGCCTGTAGTACGACCAGCCCATGCCTTGGGTGGTGTTTCACGAGGGGGTTGAATCCCGGATAACTAACTTAACTATGTGGCTAGGATCAAATGATTTCAAGTTTATGTCTTCGGGAGGGTTAGGCAATCGAATCAATTTTATATTTCTCCCACGTTTCAAACGTCGTAAGAGACGTTCGCGATGATGACTGACTGCATGGAAAGGACATAAGAAGTCCTGGATAAAGATGCACACGTGTGGAAATACACTCTTAACCAGATGTGTCTAATTAACGATATATTTTTTGTATCTTATTATAACTAAGCTATTCATGCTTTGTTTTATTCATACAAACAGACAGAGCAGTTAAACCAGGAAGAATATTCAACACTAGCGCCTGTGATACAAAAATGTAACTCCAAGCCCCTCATGCAAGTCAAGCAAAGAATACTGAGTAAACATACATACACCTCGCGAAAACAAATAGCTCATCAAACCATGCAGGCTATGCCACAGCGAAGTAAAAAGCGTAAGTAAAGCAAAGCAAAACGCACACCAATGCAACATCAATACACTAAATAATCCCTAAGCCTCTGCCCGGAACAAGCCCCTAAGAATCGCCCCCCCTTCTCCACAAATAAGCTTCTCAACCTCCCCCTCACCGACAAAACAAACAAGCTTTCTCTCATCCGCTCCGGGCCCAGCACCAGCCCTCCTGGTGGGTGTCTTCGGCTTGGAAGGTGTACTGGTCCCCATAGACCTGCCACCAACTCTGCTAGTAGTAGAAGTAGACGCGCGCCCACGTCCCTGTGCCTGCACCTCCCCGACCAAACCCAACGTCTCCAGACTTCCAACAACATCCCTAAACTCGGTTGCTGCAAGGGGCTGTAGGATCTTGTCCCGGCGGCACAGTGCCGAGTACGTGACGAACAGTTCATTGACAGTTGGCGCTGCTGCTGCTGCTGCTCCTGCTGCTCCTGCTGCTCCCGCAACCATGGATGACGTCGTTGACAGTGTACCATTGTGCATGCCCCTCTTCCTATCCCCGTTATCGAAATCCGTCTTCCTCCGACCCAGCACAATGAGCACACAAAGTGCCACTTTCTGCTGCAAATTCAGCCCCTGCAGCCGCTGCACCGTGCCATGCCCAAACGTATTGGCTGTCACGCGCGCGACATGCGCGACCGTCGCTCTGGGTGCTGTGGCGGCCGTATATCCTGTAGCCGTAGCTCTAGCTGTGGAGGATAAAGCCGACGACGGAGTATCCGGCGGCGAAATCAAGGGGGAGGCCAGGTTTACATTCTCGACCAGGGGTACCTTGGTGGGTGACCTGCAAGAGCTGGAATTTTGTTTCTGCCTGGTTTCCTGCTCGATGAGGTCGATGGTGCGGCGGACGATGTCGAATGCCTTGCGCAGGTCACCAGTCTGGGAGGCTACCTTCCGCGCGCAGAGTTGGATCGCGGCGGGCTGGAGAAAAGGAGTGAAATCTTCTGAAACGGTGGTTGCACTTGCAGCGGTATTCGAACTGGGAAGCAGGGAGCGGAGCCGCGTAGAAACGATGTCGGCGATCTGCGAGGCCGTGTAGGGTAAGAATGGGAGGAGGCGTGGTTTCATGTTCTTGGATTTTAGACGGGGTAGGAACCTGTCCGTCAGGTCGAGGGCGTTGGCGATACCGATCAACACCAGGCGCGAATGGGGCTGTAGGGACCATTCGAAGAGAGTGTAGAGGGTTTCGACGTCGGTCGTGAGGAGGTGGTCGATCTCATCGAGCGCGACGAGGTAGAGCGTGGGGGATATAGTGGTAGAAGTTGATGAACTCGTGCGTTTCTTCTGCACGAACATGTCCGCCAACAGTTCCGTCCGGCTCTTCCTGAACAGTTGCAGATCCTCGCACAGCTCGTCTGCAATTTTCGCATAGATATCCTTCGAACTCGTCATGGTCGCACAATTGATGCGGGCGATCCTGACAGATTCCTTGTCCATATCCACGCCGATCATGAGATCCTGACACACCTCGTCCACCAAGGCGGATTTGCCAGTGCCAGGCGGACCGCTTACGTACATACAACCCCCCCGGCGCGATTGTACCAGATTGAGAATGAACGAGGTCAATTCTTGTCGTTCGCTCTCCCGGCCCACAAGTCGGCCTGGGGCGGCACTCCTTGCAAACAGCTGACGGGCGGGGGTGTAGACTGTTTGAGCATTCGCCGGAGAAGCGATCATGCGAGGAGTTCGCGGTGTCAAGGGTTTTCCCAAGCAGGAAACCTGCACGCGGTGTCTGGGAGTAACGGGAACGGCTTGAGAGACGGATTTTGTATTATTGACAGATAGAGCATCTCTGTAGCGGGATGGTGTTCTGGGAGTGGTGAATTCGAGCGGGCGCGTATTTTCATCTTTTCAGACTCGGTTAGCAGTTTTTCTTCTCTTTTGTTGCAACTAACCAAACCCAGTCGGGGGAAAGCGGTTGGGGGTTTTGTTTAGAGTGCGCCCCAGGTGGTATTAGGACCTACCAACTACAATGGCGGTATTTGGAGGTGAGATAGACTCGTCGACTGTCTTGTCAGGAACAGTATGTTTCGAAGGCACATTACGGAAGGGGATGATGGTTCTTGGTTTGGCGGTGGTGGAGAGGCTACGACGCCCATGTCTCGACCTGAGGCCGGTTGAGTGGGATATAGAGAGTTCATCATCGCCATCACTATCGTTGGTCTCTTCCTCGTGTATTCGGGGCTGAGGAGGGGCCTGGGCTCGTCGTTTGCTGGAGCGCAACGATGAAGCCGTCGAGCAATTGTCTGGTGGAACGCGGGAAATCAGTCAGAAACCCACACACGACCGGGAGACGGGAGCAAGAGCTTCAAAGAAAGCAACTTACCATGGCGCAGTCTCTTGCGCAGCACGGAGGAAGCCATTGCGGGCAAGGACAGAACGCTCGCTGGTTTAAAGGCAGGTGGTTGAAGCAGCGGGAGCGAGGGGAGCGAGAGCGACGGGGGAAGTATCGCGGCAGTCCGACCCAGGTACCTCTGGGCAAAGAGGTACTTCGTTCCACACATAAGGGCGGTGGTCGCGTTAAGCAGCCCAGCGCGTGGGCACAAGGCCGGACACGAGAAGGGACAACGCGTGGGCCCCCACGACACGAGACGCGACCCGTGACCCTGGCCCGCTGGATTGTTGGAAGATGCATGCGCTTGCACCCTCTTGATGGCTCGAAGGGCATTTGTCCTTATTAAGTACATAGAAGGCTGGAGTTGAGTGAATAAAGAAATATAGTTCTTTGATCCCAATTACTCCCCTACAGTGGTATTCTTTGATCTGCTCAGAGGTTACTCCGTACTTGTAGTCGTAAACCGTCAACGCGAAAAAGTGAATACGGGAACCTGCTTAAGCCACTTTGGCAGCTATGGATAAAATCGATGACTCAGCTGTGCATAAATAATAGCGTATCGGGCCTCTCTAGCTTCCCGTATACATTATTCAACTGCTTGCAAGTTTAGCCGGGCGGGAGGAATAATGATGATCCGGATGCCGGTTCCCTCTGCTGATTCATCCACAATAGTTAGTTAGTTAACTAGCGTCACTGCTCATCTGCCTTGAACCAGACAAATCTTTTGCCGGATGCGTGAAACTTCATTTCTTCACACCAGCTCCCAGTCCCCCTTTTTTATTCCTGCCAACTGCCGTAGACCCTAGAAACTTCGCACTAGACAGCAATGCCTTGATTCTACCGATTTTCTATCTTTTATGATCCCTTTGTCTGCTGAATTTTACTGCATCTACCTACTCTTGCTGTTGTTCCTCCGTGCTGCTTCCCTGGGGCCTTGAATGCCCCTCCCCCCATATACAGGCAGCCTGCTCTTAACTCGTTACTTCTCCTTCCTCAACCCACGTCGTACATCCTATCCTCCCCTATTTCCCCTCATATCCGCCCGACAACTCCTCTTGAAATACGCCCAGATCGTATAGATCCAGATAACTCCGACATCCCCCTCAGCTATGGCGGACGCTGCGGTGGCAGGGTTCACCGAGATCACGGGTTCCTCCCCAGAGGTTGCTGCCCGGTATCTGCAGCTGACCGACGGCAACCTCGAAACGGCTATGCAGCTGTACTTCGAGAATGGAGGCGCTGATATCCAACCGGAATCCACTCCTCCGCAGCCTCAATTCCCCGTTTCTCGTTCTCCTCCCTTTGCTCCTCCTCCTCCTCCTCCGTCGTCACGGCCCTCACGGCCCTCACGGCCCTCACGCATACCAGGCTACGAAGACGAACATGGCGTCGTCCATCTGGACTCCGACGATGATTACAGCTATACACATGAAGGAGGCACGAATATCCCCGTACGGACTTCCCATCAATCAGTTTCCTCTGCCAGTCGCACACCGCAACCTGCCGGGCTTTCTACATTTGACGACGACGAAGCCATGGCCCGCCGTTTGCAAGAGGAATTTTATGCTGGAGCTGAGGGTTTCGTCGGTCCTGCAGATGAAAGCGGTGTACGCGCTCCCTTAGCCCGCACGACAGAAACACTTGTCGAGCCTGGTGCGGATTTGGGGTTTGATATCAATGATGGCCTAGACGACGCCGTGATGGGTCAGTTGCGGGCTAGGCAGCGAGCTAGAGCAGGTATGCCGCCGCTTACCCAATTTTTCCTTTTGTGCGTAAAGTTATATGTTGTTCGTCGGCTGATATCTAGCTTAACCTAGGCCGACCAGGTATCTTCAACCAAAGGCCCATTTCATCATCGATCTGGAACCAGGACGATCCGTCATCACATCGCGCATCCTTGGCAGAGGCTACCGGTGGCGCCTCAAACGCCTCTAGCAAGTCCAGTATGCTTGCTGAAATGTACCGACCTCCCTTTGAGATCATGTCGAAACTCCCCTGGGACCTAGCGCGGGATGAAGGCCGGGAAAATATGAGGTGGTTGCTGGTCAACATTCAGGACGCCTCTGTTTTCGATTGCCAAGTCCTAAATAGAGATCTTTGGAAAAACCAAGGCGTCATGGACACGGTAAAAGAACATTTCATCTTTCTACAATACTCCAAGGACGACCCGCGCGGTTCGCAATATATCCAATATTACTTTCCCGGCGTCGACGTTCAAGATAACTACCCACATATTGCAATCGTGGATCCACGGACGGGCGAGCAAGTAAAAGCATGGACTGGACCCCCCGTTATTAAACCATCGGATTTCCTGATGCAAGTCCACGAGTTCCTTGATCGCTACAGCTTAGACCACACTGTGCGGAATCCTGTTGCCAGGCGGAAGCCGGAGGTAAAACCGGAGCGCAAGCTTGAAACAATGACTGAGGAGGAAATGCTGGAGATGGCCCTGAAGAATAGTCTGGAGAGCCAGACCCAGAATAATAACGTGAAGGGCAGACACGAGGATCCCGATGACCTGACGAGGAGCATTGGCGACATCAAGGGGAAGGGGAAGGGGAAGGGGAAGGGGAAGGCATCCAGCCTAGATGACGACATGAATGTCGACGCAGAGACAAACGGCCAACAGCAACAAGAACAAGCGGAAGACTCACACCACCAGAACCTGGCCTTCGCCTCCATCTCCCCCAACAAACCCCACACAGAACCCAACCCGGACCCGGTAACCATAACCCGAATTCAATTCCGCCACCCAACCGGCCGCGTGATCAGGCGCTTCAACCTATCCGACCCCGTCCGGCGCATCTACGAGTGGCTAAAAGCGTCGCCGTTGTCAGAGGATAAGGCCGGTGTGGAGTTTGAGCTTGTCTCGATGGGCCAGAATTTGATTGGGATGTTGGATGTTAGCATTTCGGATGCGGGGTTGAAGAATGGAACTGTGATGATTGGCTTTGTAGAGGATTGAATTTTTGTTTGGATGCACAGAAAAAGAACCTTTAGAGCATGGGGATGGGATGAGGATTTGGGGAGGGGGAGGGGGAGGGGGGCTAATGGTAATTAATGGTAATGGTAATGACAACTGGAATTGGAACTGGAATTGGAACTGGAACTAGAAACTGGGAATGGCGCTGGCTTCGCTTTGGTAGCATGAGCATTCATAGAACAAAATGGTAACCTCCTGAAAGGAGTTTTTCTCCCCCCCCCTTCCCCCGGGACCATGACATCTTGGCATTTTGTTGAGGTCAGCCCAATATGACCCAAAAAGAAAAAAAATTCCCCCGAGTAAAGGAAGTGAACTGTATTAGCGCGTGCATGATGTCCGTATGGAGTACTCCGTAAGTAAAACAAATCCATCTTATCCTTAGGCCTCAGTAGAGATACAGCTTCCCCCCGCCCCCCCGCCATCAATTCAACAGCGCCTCACCGGCCAACGATACTTGTACAGTACATGGTATCCAAATTGGAAGCCAAGATTGTGGTCGGCCTTGCGTGGTCATCGTATGGTGGCAGGAGATTCGAAAACCATGGTGGGGCTGGTGCAGCTGTTGTAATGTCAGGCCTCAATTATTGAGTTTGCTGCTCCTTGCGCATAGGTTGTCACAGCAATTAATTATGAAGAAAAGGAACGAGAGGAAATGCATCGTGAGCAGGAGCATTGCTCAATGTGGCCCAGATAAGTCTGCAAGCCTGTAAGCATAAGCACGAGCTTTTGCCCCAAGGCCATGCCATGATGTTGGATCAGGCTTCTGAAAAGCGCAGCTGCAGTTCAACTGTGTTGAGAGAGTTGATGAGAGATGATAATAAAATAAAACCGCGATAATATAATTACAGTTGATTGCCAGGGCTAAAGTTAAGGTTAAGTAAGGGTTGGGGGCTCCGCTGATGGAACCAATGAGGAGCCCTACTGGAGGGAGCCGCGTGGGGGGAAAGGGAAGGGTCAAGCCTCAAGACTCACAGACTCACAGACTCACAGACTCAGTCAAGCAAAGAGAGATGCATGCAGCCGAGTCACTATGGCAACGGCATTGACCGCGTTCTGAATTCATGTCGTGCATGATGAAAGTTTTGAGCAATCATATCCCAAAGTTCGGTTCGAGAGCGTCTTTCGTCCAACTCAAGGTAGAGCCGATGCTTTCAGCGCTGCTGAATTCGTTCGCCTCTGTTGAGTCTGTGGACTGGACAGAATGTGTAGTTAAATGCGAATCCCTGTATGACCAAGATCAGGCAGAGGTAGTGCGGGAATCCAGAGTCCTCGTTTCATGGTTCTCTCTTTAGTGAATTCCACGTTCCGGCTGATGATTCCGTGGGCGATCCCTTCGGTTCCAGCCGTTCATGGGTTGACAGACAATAAACAATAGGTCCCCCTCAATAGTTATCTGATAAATGGTTCCTTAAAAAAGTGACCTGAATTGAAACTTGGAAACAGCTCTGAGTTAGGATGGATGTGCATAAAGGTTTGACCTTTTGTATTCTGTATATATTACAACATACAATAGATGCTGTAACTAGATAAAGGAGTGAGAAGCAAAAATGATGACTCATGACTGACTCAGCCGCCGTTTCTGAAGCCGTCGCCAGCGATTGGCGGAGAGCAAAGAAACCCGGCAAAACAAACAACAAACCACAGCAACAACCACAACAACCACTCTCTCCATCCATGATCCAAGGCCGGGGCTACCAGAGTTCAGGAGATCTGCTGGCCCAATAACATCCTACTGTGGTACATACGCAGTAGTATCAGTGGATCACAAGCCACGCCAGAGATCCCGCTATCCCAGGAACGGCCGTTTAGCATCAAGCTCTGGTGCCTGGCCTGACCCGGGAACAAAACCGGGAGAGGTGGTGTTTGTTGACAAGTCGTAGAAGCACGTTTGGTGCCTTGTTGACGAGGGATAATCATAACTGGAAATATTGCCTGCTCCTGGATGCGCACCCCATACATTCATTTATTGTGTGTGATATGCCGTTTGTCGCCTTGCTGTTGACTGGGCCTCCGTATCACTGGGGTCGTCTCACCCACACTTTCCTCGCTACACCGCATCCAGCAGCGCATTATTCTTAAATACCCAGGTCAGCACCCGGCATGCCAGGAAGCAGATATCTCCGATGTAAACGCCTCACTCAATGATCTAATGACTGCGATGGTATGTCACTTCCGCTGTTATTCCGCAGCTTGAAAAGGGCCTATCTGTTGCACCATAACTGGTTTGGTGTTGACTGACACCCTTGTGCGCGGTAAATAAACAGATCTCATGAAACAAACTACTCCCTGCGACGACAAAGTTTTTTTTTCCTTCTTCGAATCAATCTGTGACCATACGATAGTTACCAAAGAAGAAAGGAATTGATTTACCTCACTGGACAATATATTCATTCCAACTCCGTCCGTGATCCTGGATCCGCGGGGTCTCCCCCAGATACCTCCCTCCCCAACATAAACTCCCGAAAACCACTGCTGTTAGGAAGGAATATCAATTGTATCGGAGGAGGGTCTACACTACAGGCTATCGCAACCCCGTCTATTGGATATTTCAACAAGTGATTGAATTGCGGCTACGTTTCCACGAAAATGGAGGGTGCTGTTGACCCTGAAACCTATTACACCAAGCAGAACTGCATCGGTATGTCGAGAGGATTTCGTGACAAAAATCTGGAGATATATATCTCTTGGTGGCTAACTTCTTTGCAGGCGGTGGGAGCTTCGGAAAGGTATACAAAGGGTATGGCTTGAATCGCTTTTCTCCGTCTTACTCTTCATGCGCTGGGAGCACTGGCTAATGGCTCCGGCGATCCTTTTCCATTGTAGAGTCGATAAGCGAACAGGTCAAGCTGTCGCGATTAAAATCATCGACGTCGAAAATGCTGACGACGAAGTCGAAGATATAATTCAAGAAATTTCTATCCTGTCCGAGCTCAATTCGCCATATGTCACCAAATATCACGGTTCGTTTCTGAAGGGCTCAGACCTGTGGATTATAATGGAGTTTTGTTCGGGTGGGAGCTGCTGCGATTTGATGCGTGCCGGCCTCATTACTGAGGAATATATCATGATAATTCTCAGAGAACTGCTACTCGGATTGGACTATCTCCACAGTGACAAGAAGCTACATAGAGACATCAAAGGTGGCCAGTCCCCTTTTCAAATATTAATTTCATAGTCACCGGAGCTGACAGGTACTATAACTTAGCTGCGAATATACTTCTTGGAGCAAACGGTCAAGTCAAATTGGCAGATTTTGGCGTCTCTGGGCAGCTTTCTGCAACCATGACCAAGAAAAACACCTTTGTCGGCACCCCTTTCTGGATGGCTCCAGAAGTTATCAAACAATCAGGATATGACCACAAAGCAGACATATGGTCCTTGGGAATTACGGCCATTGAATTGGCGCAAGGCGAGCCGCCATACGCTGACATCCATCCAATGAAAGTTCTCTTCCTGATTCCCAAGAATCCGCCGCCAGTTCTGCGAGGAAACTTCAGCAAAGCGTTTAAGGACTTTGTTGAATTGTGCTTGAAGAGAGACCCAAGAGAGCGTCCCTCAGCAAAGGAGCTTCTCAAACATCCTTTTATCAAACGAGCAAAGAAAACTACGTATTTGACGGAGTTGATTGAGCGATCAGAACGATGGCAAGCTGTTCATGGAAATCGATCATCGGATGACGATGACGAGCAAAACTATTATCAACCCCCGCATAAGCCTACTCCTGAGGAAGAGGACTTGTGGGATTTCGGTACTGTGAGACCTGCTGGCGGAAGAGCGGGTGGACTGCGAGCGATGAATGATGCGGCGGCCAATGCAAGAACGCAGGCGCAAGAAGACGCACGAAGATCTCCAATCGAACCACGGAAGGGACCGACTGACTTGCATATCCAGCCCAAATCTTCGAAGGAGACCATGAAGGGCTCACCTTCACCCCCAAGATCTCCTCAAAAAGGGAACCTCCCAATTACACTCCCGACTTCCCCGATATCTGCGGCAAGAGTTCCGCTGCCGCCATCTGTCCAGAAACAAAAGGCTTTCCAGGAATCGGCACCCAAGACACCTTCACACTTTGCAAAACCCCCACAACCTCCCAATAAGGAAAGTCCCAGCACGAGTGATTATGACAGAGCGTTGCAAAAATCATTAGCTCAAGATATCGGGTTTCTTCGACTTCGTGAATCCCCTGGCGACTCGAACGCTTCACACCAAATACAACAACCCCCACCTACATCCACTCCCGCAATTGGTCCAAAACCCACGGCCAAAGAGCAGATCACAAGGAAGCCGGTTGGTATGCACATACCTGAAATACCGCCATTCAAGGGACATCAGGCGGACGCACTCCGGGATACATCCAATCAATCACCTAGTCCAACAACAACACAGGCCACACGGCAACAAAAATCCTCTAAACAACATCCCCTTCCACCTCTGGCACACCATCCCTTAAGCCCTATTCAATGCCAACAACCGTTACCGCCCATCCACCAACAGCGACTTCCACAACTGCCGACCCCGCAACCACTAGATGTAACGAGCAAACAGCCACAGCACCATAAACAGCACCAGCAGCAACTTGAACAGGAGCTACAACGCCACCAACAGCAACAGCAGCAACGCAAGTCCAGCAACTCTAGCCAGTCATCCTCCCTAGCCTTTTCGCCAGCTCCACACTCTCAAACTAATGACATAACCGCTCTAAGCGGCGTCGTTCTCCCTGCCCTCGAAGCTGCCCTCCGCCGGCGCACCTACAATCTCAACGCCCTTGCCCGTAGCTCATGCGCAGGTGTCCCTGCCAAAACCACCAATAGTAATAACAGCGCTAACAGCGATCCCGTCGCATTAGAACTCCTCCAACGACGCCAGTACGCGCATGAGAAACTGAAGCGGCTAGTTATCAAGGCTGCGGGAATTTTTAAAGAGATTGAAAGGTGGGACAATGAGGCGCCTGTGGGAATGGGCGGGGATGTCAATGCGTTTCTCGAGGGGTTCCTGGAAGAGGTGCTTGTTAGGGTTGAGCCCGAGGAAGAAGGTGTGAGTGCGTCTTCAGGTTCTCCTGCTGGTGAGGGCATGGGTGGAGCGACGACTAGGAAGAGGTAGGCGAGATTGGCGTTGGAGAGAGGATGGCTTGGAGAGGGCGAATGGGAAGTATTTTTTTTTTTTTTAACATCTCTCTTCCTACGGGACTACACTATTATTGCGTGTACTGGTTGGTTAGGATTTACCTGTCAGCTAACCACTGCCTTTTCGTATTCTCTCTACAACTGCCCTTTCCTCCCCGCGATTGTTTCTCTTCAGCGGTGGCCTGGCCGCTTTTGCGGCTTGATATGTCCTAATTCTTGTTCGTGTCTGGTAGTTATTTTTTTTTTTTTTTTGTTTGCTTCTCCTAGATGTACCCCTTTACTCTATTTGGTTTGGCCGGGGCTTTCTTATAATTTATTTACAATCACAAATGAGACGACCGAAGTTCGATCGGTATTTGAACTTCTGCATCTAACTCCGGAGAAGTTTACTTTGTGCGACGCGGATTGTGCTGAAGGGATGCTTTGAAAAAGGGAGGCAGGTGAAAAAATCCCTTAGTATTCTGCTGTATATATGTCTTATAACTACCGAGAGAAAAATTGACTTGAGCCATGCTATACAGAATCTAAAGAGACGTGCTTTCCAATCCCCTCAACGTGGCAGCGGAGAACTAAAAGCGCTTGCCAGATGCTATGTAATCGGGGGTGGAAGCAATTCACCTAGTCACTCCGGTAGCCCGATGGATCTGCGGACCTCCCAACAGTAGAGAACTCCGCACAATACACGCATTTATCGGCTACCCCATTATTATGCACAGCGACCGACGTACACATATCACGAAACAAAAAGCAAATCTTCTCAAGGACTGCCTTCCTAGTTTCCTCAACAGAGAGAACAGACAAAGAGGAGGAGAGGCTTGCCTTGTCATCAGGGTGAAATTGACTCTGCAATCGTTTCCTTCAGTGCCGGTCGGTGCGGTTCGATTCACGTTTCCTCGCGCATGTTGGGCAGCATGATATATGTATATGGGTTTTTGCATGCGCCGTACGTCTACGTCGAGCGTGCACAGACCAAATATAATTGCACAGGTCCTCAGTACACTCGGCTCGCGTGCATGTGCATGCAATGATTATGTGGCCGTGTAAGAGGGGTCAGGAAAAGCATCCAGTCATATCCCGCGAATTCAAATCGTTGCACCAGATCAGAGAAATGAAAAACCAACAATATATTCCTATTTCTAAACGTCCGGGTCGTCAATACGAGAAAGACATCATGTTATCATTGTTTTCTCTAGGCGTGGCTGGCGGTCTCAAGGGGTAGTGGGAGTGGCATTCGCATCGAGAGTTCTTTTTTCTGCAAGCGGGGTAGGGAACACGCCTGCTTTACTCGTGGAGCGAGCAGAGCGACGCATAGTGGATCCGTGTGATTCCGAGATTTCGGGTAAGGCATTGCTTTGTATTGACTGCTGCCAGTGTTGCTTTTCTTTGTATGTAGGGTCGCCTATCCGCAGATGATGATTGGTGGATGTTCTGCGATCATGGTATGACAGTCACACGAATATGCAGTTACTACCATTCACAATGAGATGCGTATGGCTCCATTCCATTACGCGATCATGCACCTTAGATCGGTTCATATTGTATACCAAGGTAGTTAGTACGCATAAGGTACCCGCAGCTTTCGGAAGCGGGTTCGAAGATATCCATGTCATGAGAACTATATAATTCTCCGCCGATAAACTTTGTAGTTTGATATTATTGTGAAAATATTTTTGGAAACCGTGGTGAAATAAGCGTTTGCCCCTTCTTTCTGTGTTTCTTTTTCCGCTACTGGTAAACTTTCATGGAAGGGGAAAAATGATCCTACCCTGTTAGTTATTCATCCCGGTATCATATGTAGTTCCAGGAGCTCATGATTTAATCATGTCTTCCCCTTTTAGCAGTACCTCCGAAAGCAGCCTCCGCATGCCTTGGTGTGTTTTGCCTCCTCCTTATCGTCACCTCTGCGAAAGTGAGCCTCTTCTATACATTTACTTTGGGCGCAAATATATATTTGTAAACACACATATATATACGTGCATCTCCCACAGAATGGAATGTAAATACGGCGTTGGGGGTTCCACTAATGACCAATGCGCGAGCTGTATAGGTTGTGAATAGGCTGTTTTTCTCCCCATTCCGCAAGGTACCGGGACCGATTCTCGCAAAGCTCACAGGGGGATGGCTGCTGTGCGTGGATCTTGCCGGACGGCGAGCCATGAAAGTCCACAAGCTCCATGAGAAGTACGGCTCCGTGGTGCAACTTGGGCCCAACGAACTCAGCTTCTCCAGTGCGGAGAGCATTGATATTATCTATGGAACGGGGACTCGATTCCGCAAAGCACCAATGTATATGACAATGGGTCGCCCAGGTGTCTTACACTTGTCGGATCCAGCAGCACACAAGGAGCGACGACGGTTATTAAACCATGCGTTTTCAAAACAACAACTTGATGACATGGAGCCAGAATTTCGAAATTCGGTGAAAAAGATGGTGGCCAGAATGGAGCGGCAGGGTGGAGAAGCTTTGGATATGAAGCATTGGTTTAAAATGTACACTCTGGATAATGCAGGCAAAGCTTTCCTTGGGGCGACCTTTGGGGGACTGGATTCCGACGAGTCGCCACGATACGTAAAGGATTTTGATTTGTTTTTACTGGCATGGGCATTTAAAAGCAATTTTCCCATACCAGCTTGGTTTGTGCAGAAAATACCTCATCCTAAAATTAAGTTCGTCTTCGATGCGGAAGCGCGCATCTACCAAGTGAGTTTGGACAAGTTGAAGGCATTCTAGGCGTTTCCCGCTCCATTCTTCAAAATAGCTGCGTTGCATCTTTGAGCGCCGATTGATCTGCTGGCTGACCACTTTCTATTGTACCAACCAGCACGGGATTGATAGATTTAATGAATATATCGAAAAATATGGCCGTGTCTCCCAACGCCGAGATTTGCTAACCAAGATGATTGGCAGAAAAGAGAATGATCCAGATGCACTCGCTGATTCCGATATTGCCGTGGAAATCAGCAATCTTTGTTTCGCAGCGACCGATACCACGGGGACAGCTCTGGTTTATCTCTTTTGGGAGCTCGCGCGTAATCCACATCTGGCAGAGCGACTTCGTTCCGAGATCGCCGACCTTCCATTAGTGGATGGAGTCATTCAACACCAGAGTGTATCAAATGTCCCATTTCTAGAAGCCCTTATAATAGAAGGATTGCGAGCCTACCCGCCTCTCCCATCTGGTCTCCTCAGGGAGGCCCCTGTTGGTGGATGTGTCATAGATGGCATATATGTACCCCAAGGAGTGAGTAACAAATGACAAAGCCTTTCTTTCAATCAAAAGCATATTGGAACAGAGCCTTACTAACGGATACATCTCTGTCCCCGCCTGTCCATGGCCACCCATATAGACGATAGTTTCAACACACACCTGGACAACTCATCACAGCCCTGAATATTTCCCACACCCCGATAAGTTTGATCCATCTCGCTGGCTTGAAGGAAATGTGTGTGACGGAATGAAAAGGCTCTGGATGCCGTTTTCTAAGGGTCCTCGGAATTGCCTGGGGCGCACCATGGGGCTATTCGAAATGAAAATTCTGATCGCAACTCTGGTGAGGAGATTTCATATTAGTATCGACGATACGATGAGAGATGACGCGATGGATATCACAGATCATTTTCTCCTTATCCCCAAAGGCGATAAATGTCTGCTCCGCTTTACCCCGATAAAAATAACGGCCCATGGGCGATTCGAGGAAGATAGAGATGCGGATGGTGAAGACGTAGAGGGGGGATTGGGAATATCTTTTCAGCGAACCTAAAGGTTGGCAGGCGAATGCACTGAGTACGCAAGTACAGCACTTTTGTTTTCCCGACTTAGTCTTTGCTAGCAAATACTGTGGATGTCGGGTAATATAATCGTTTATTCTTCATTAGCACCTGGCCTGGGAGATGCTCCATTTACTAGGTTTGGTAATTGGTAAATAACGAAGTAATTTTGGTGAAATCCGTATCAGATGGAGTTGATGCCAAAAATATTCCCAAGAGACATGTTTGCTGATTCTCAGGCTCTACTTTTTGCCCTAATTGAATGCTGGATTTCATTTTATTCCCCCAAAGTCGTCTACTTGGAAAGACATGGAGTCGCCAAAAGGGCCACTTGGACTAGTAGAGCAGTCGATTTGTTCATGATCAATCCAAAAATATGCCTGCGTATGAAAATCGTTGACGCGAGTGGGATTCGTGTTTTTTCATGTTCACATCATTCACTGAAATAAAGATGGCGGATAAAATGCAAATGTAATCGAGAGCGAGACTGTCGATGGTGTCGACAACAGACTGTCCATGGAGAGGTGTGACTGACTGAAGGATGTTTTCGTCACCTAGGTATCGATTTCCAGCCAGGACGAATAAGGCCCTGCTGTGGTTGACTTACTTTCAATCTCGGCTTCTATCGAGTAACAGTACCATGGCTGATTTGCCCTTGCACGAGCACGAATTCTGCCACATCCGTTCTTCCACGGCTCAACCCAAGTTGGTAACTAGTCAGTGGGAACAGAAAAGACGAGAGGTTAGGGAGGATATAGTCAACGCCGTCCTTTTGCTGGTTGGCTTCATTTCCTGAACCGACCTAATCAAAAATATGTTGATCCTTCCACATCGGTAGCTGTAAGAACATGTAGATAATTTGGTTGAAAGCGCCGTCTGTAAGTTATCTCTGGTTGTGGGAAGAACCCTATCCACACAAGATTGCCTCGCTGCGAGGGCTGCCTTGTTGTAGAACTTGGTGCTATACCAATCATGTTCACACGAAGAATGTAACTACCTGTACATCAACGCTTGGTTGAACTTCCAGAGACTGCTCTAGCCACGTAGTGTCAGAGTCGTCTATCAGCAACAAACTATTTGTTTGTTCAGCGCCGAAACCAAGTGGAGCTTCTTCGCTAAGGCACAGCGCTGCATGCCGATGTTGGAGAAGTAGTCTTTTGCGTGTCATTCGATGTCAGCTGCTGTTTCGTCATCAGCGGAAAGAATCATTCGCATTCTCATTACGGCCTTTTCTTCATATTGTACCTTGAATTCCGTCAATAGATTCGGAGGCCGCTGGTCATAAACCAAGAAGTAGAGTTCTGCGAATACGTGATAGTCTTGCAAGGAATCCAGATTGACCAAGCGCATGAAAAGCCAAACCATCTTGCATTTTTCCTAAGCTTTAGGACAAACACTAATATTTTCATCAAGGCGCTCGGTGAAGCCAGGGCGGAACGATGACGTTAAGGACACTTCCCACTCGTCTCTCGGGTAAGGCAGACCCGGCGTGGAAAGCAGAATCGCTATTGGTATGGTAGATGAGAACGCCCAGTCGATAATACAAATGACGTTGCCATTTGGTCGACGAAAATATTGATTGCACTCAGGTCAGGGTGGTAACGAGCAAATTTTCCGGAAGGATGGCTGCTGTATCCTTCTGAGCGATCCAGGAAGCTCGGTATCATTTTCTCAGGCTATCGGCCGGCTATGAAATAATCCACCCTGTTCCCACTGTTTTCGATTTTGATTCTAGCGTTACGAGATCGTTCCAGCGGTCAGTCGCCTCTAGATAACTGGCGTAGTTTTCGTATTTCTCTAGGAACCGGCACGGGTGCAAAGAACGCATGATGTTCTAATGTCAAATACTGTATGTGTCCAAAGTATGCCGAAAGGAGTGCCTTGTAAATAATATTCCCTTTCTTCAAGATCCCCTGTAGATCGCATCGGTCATGAAACAGGAAGCCAGGTGAGAAACTGGCTTCAGAGTGAAACAGCCTTCTTCCTCGAACAAGGAACCATTCTTATCAAAACGAAGTTGGGAGGGCTAGGCTGTGATACGGCCTAACTGTCTCATAACTTTCTGCTTCTCTTCTGGTTTTCGCTGTCGACGACAAGGACCGTCTTGAGCATGCGGCGTTCCCTCCAATCGCGGATGCCAACCATAGGTGGAAAGAGGATAACCATCTGCTTTTGACATAAGAATATACGGAACGCCGACCCCATTGTGGCTAGACAAACTTCATAGGGGTCAGTGGGTTGGCTAAATCTTGGGTTTAGCATAGGGCAACGGACCTGCAATGGTATACTGCTGGAACAGGAATGGAGCTGTTCTGCTTGAGGTGCCTGAGCGTGGCAACCTCGCTGGCAAGCATATCTCTCGCAGTCGTCTCCTCGAGGTCATAACTCTTGCGTGGGGACCGAAAGAGCCATTCCACGCCGTCGTCAATGGTTGAAACCAATGTTACATGTGCAATCTACTCCGTACATTTCACAGTCTCTGAGCCAGCTGGACCAGAGCAGACCGGTTGAATCCACCACGTACTCTGGATGGTGGGTTCAACATCCTACCGGTGTCGGAGGGTCGTTGGCGGAGAGCTATTCCCCGCATATCAAATATCAAGCCGAAAACTTTCCCGCCAGGCTAGTTAAGGAAAATTTTCACTGCGCTAGCAGGGTCAATTTGTAACAATAATGGGATGCGCATGTCCTGCTCGGCTCGACACCGCGCTTATCAGTGAACAGCCGGACGAATGGTTAAATATTCTGATACCGGCGCTGATTCTGGGGCATCAAAGGTCAACTACATCAATACTTGCTGTTAACATCTGTAATGGCATTGGCCAAACACTACGATAAAATTCGCCTCAACCCCTTAGAAGAATTTAAACTTTATCTTTGAACCGTCGGCATTGAACTCTCCGCATCCTGCACCAGTGGAGCCGAGCTCTGGAGAGATCGAATTACCCCTCCACACGGGCCTGGGCATGCCGCTTGTGCCTAGGAGGTGGGAGATATAACTATAATTTACATCAAGGAATCTGGGAAAACATCATCATCGTCCATCAGCCCCGGCTATATATTGCCCATCACTGGCTTCTATATAAGGAGAAGGCCTCGCCAGCTGCTGCTATCTCCAGGCTTCATCAAGTTCAATGATGTTAATACATGTCCCATCTCAAATGGCCTGGCACCGGATCCCCCCTCACCTTGAAGTGGGGATGTGGCACTTGAAAGCAATAAAATATGTTCAAGGTCCACCGGCCTAGGTTCTTTCAACCGCGGCTGCCTATGGGTCTCCTCGTTGCTCCCTTCGGTAATTCGGGAGTTGAGCAGTGGTATAAAGCTTCTACTTGTACAGGATGATATCTCCAGTTTTGAATGAAGTCAGCTTCTGCCACAATATTCACTAAAATAAATAACACCCTTTAAGTTCTGAAGCCAATTGCAGCATCAAACCAAAAGAGACAGCGTCTTGGACTATCGACCATGGGCGAAATAGCTGAAGTCCCCAAACAGGCGAAGGCCATTGTCTATGATAACCCGGGAACCATTTCAACGAAGGTCGTGACTGTGGATGTGCCCGAGCCTGGTCCTGGAGAAGTCTTGATTAATCTGTATGTTCAAGCTCCCATTTGTTGTCTTTATTGGATCACGCCATATTCTTGTTCTACATTGATGCGTAGCTCTCAAAGCGCTTTAAGGACAATATGTTGATTTATAATATTTTTATTTAAACACAACAGGACTCACTCTGGCGTTTGTCACTCGGATTATGGGATCATGACTAATAGAGTATGTCGCTTAACGAACCCCTGCATATCTTCCGTTCCTATTATATTAACACTCTATTTGTCAGTGGAAAAACCTCCCGGCTCCAACAGCAGCCGATCAAGTTGGTGGCCATGAGGGTGTTGGAAAGGTCGTCAAACTCGGTCCGGGCACAGAAAGCTCGGGAGTAGAGCTAGGAGCTCGCGTGGGAGTCAAATGGCTGCAATATGCTTGCGGCAACTGTGGTAAGTTTATATATAAGTTACACCCAGAAACATCACCACTACAACGTGCGACACTAACTACAAATGACCCATATAAGAACCTTGTGGCGCGGGTGTAGATGCCTGCTGTGTGAAATCGAAAGTGTCTGGATACTACTCTCCTGGCACATTCCAGCAATACGTTACGTCGCCAGCAAGCTATGTGACTCCGATTCCAGACTCACTTCCCTCCGACCTGGCTGCCCCTTTACTCTGCGCCGGGGTGACCGTTTATTCAGCCCTTAAGCGCAGTCAAGCTAAGCCGGGAGATTGGGTCATTATTTCAGGCGCCGGAGGTGGCCTAGGCCATATTGCAACCCAGCTAGGCAGCAGAGGCCTAGGACACCGTATTATCGGTATCGACCACGGCAGCAAGAGAGATATCGTCCTTGAATCTGGCGCGGAACACTTTATCGACATCACGCAGTTCACGGACAACGAGCCCAAAGGCGGCAAGTTGGCGGAACACGTCCAGTCCCTGACCGGTGGCCTTGGCGCCCATGCCGTTATTGTCTGTACATCCTCAAACGCTGCGTATGCGCAGGCGATGTATTTGCTCCGCATGAACGGTGTGCTAGTCTGTGTTGGAATACCAGAGAACGCGCCTCTCCCGATTGGGTCGTCGTTCCCTGCGCACCTTATCGGGAAACAGCTTTCCATCGTAGGGTCTGCGGTGGGAACTAAACGGGAGTCAATTGAGACTATGGAATTCGGGGCGCGGGGGATTATCCAAGTGCATTTCCGAACGGAGAAAATGGATGCACTAACGGACGTATTCAAGGAAATGGAAAGGGGGGATCTTAAGGGGAGGGTGGTGCTTGACCTGTCTTAACTTAGATATGGAGTCGTTCAAATTTTTTTAAAATCCTAATATTTGGCGGATTCTGTGCTGCGCGGAACCTTTATTTTATTATTTTAAATTTTTTTTTTTTTTTTTTTTTTTTTTTTTTTTTTTCGCTGCTCCTCCGGATCGTATCTTCAAGGAGCTCGAGTTTTCATGTAAATAGTTTGCAATTTGTACAGGTTTAAATTTACATTTCTTCGATATTCGTTTTATCCCTGCCCGAAAGGGAACCGTATGAAAGACTACATATATATACAGCACGGGAGATCGGCTTCGCCTAGGTTGCCAAGAAGAGTCCGTTAAATTTACAAAATAGTAATGAGCGATTTTTATTTTGAGGGGGGGGGGGAATTAATTATTAGTTCGGGGTACTGAGGAAATAGGAGGAAATAGACTCAGTGAATATAAAATAACGAAGCAATGAAACTTGGAAGGCTGCTTATCACTAGGATATTAAACTTTCATATTTAAAATATTGGGTAAAAATTAAAGGGGGAGGAGATAAAAGGGGTGTAAACATTAAGACGGTGAAGAATGAAAATATATCAGAACTCAGAGATGCCTGCTTCACTGACTCTGTAAATTAACCTAAATCTAAAACAGTAAATATGGAGAAATATATAAGGAAAACAGCAAGTTTGTGTCCAGAGTCTCCTCAGCCTTACTCTGTCTAGCGCATGGGCGTGGATTCCACGTGCAGGTTGAGAAACCATTCAAACGTTCTCAGAGGGCGGGTAGAGTATCGATAGCGTTTGATAAGCGAATGGTAGGCGGAGCTGGAACCAGATGAACTTATTTAGGTCGCTTCCGGCCGTTACCAGACACTCCTCCTGCGGGCCTTTTGTGCCCAGATGCGGTCACCCCGAATCCCGTGGCTGGAAATTCCCTATTCAGCAAAACCTGGAATTGCTGTAGATATGTCACCATCGACTGATTGGACATTGGGATCTTGCTCATTATGGTAACCAGCTGGGGCTCCCATTCCTTAAGGACCGCTCGCGGCAGGCTTTCCAGAACATCGAGAACGAAGTATTGACCTGAAACCTCTGGCTGGCCGATCACTTGCGCAAATAAGTTACAGTCATTCTCTGTTTCTCCTGCGGACGAGATGCGGCCCCAAGCATTGCCATCAAACGCATTGTAGTTGTAGGTGACGACATCCCGAAGTATCCCGATCAAGGCATCTGGTGCATTCCTATGGCTATCGGGCGCGCGAGGGGCAATGTTGATTGCGACAGAGAGACAAGCTCGTGCAGCCGCTCTACGACAACACGGATTTCCAACGCAGTCCCGTCTCGCTGGGGAGTCCCATATTGGCAGTATCGGTCAAAATCAACCAACAAGGCACGAGTCTTTTTTTGGACTTTGTCAAAGAATATAGCACAGCGCGCAGGTGCGGGCATTGCTTTGCGAAGGCTGCGATAGACATTATCGTCGTGAACTGCCAGGCGGAACATTGTTGCTTCAAAATCACCCTGGACAACACACTGTTCTGGTGTTCTCGACTGGCGGATAGTTTCCACCTGGTCAGGGCGGAAGTCATCAGGCATCGTGGCTTCACTGAAGGCAGAGAGAATATCCCTAACTTTTTCGGGGCGACTCATAGATGTACCAGATTCCTGTTCTGAAAATTCAGGGGAGCTTGGATCATCAACTAACGCCCAGCGAGCTTTTAGCAAGATATCTTCCATACGACCGCCGATAAGCTCGTACAACGGAGGGAAATTCGGAGATTGACCAGTACGTGATAGGGAGATTCCGGGGCCTGGCCCTTTTGGAAGGGTCAATCTATGCAGTTGGTCGACGAGCCACTAGCGAACGAATGTTAGCTCCTTCAAGCAGTGTCAATTATCATCATAATGACCTCTTACAAATATATGTCGGCAGGCTTTCGGACCATCACCATATTCCGAACAGGAGCAAGTCATTGGCCCGTTCCCCAAGTGAACCAGCCCATGGTCAAGGACCTGGAAGTCATATCCGTCTTGTGACGAACGACATTTATCGACAACAAATTTCCCCAAGATCCCCGACAGTGCCCTAGCTCTTACTTCTCCTGAAAGCCCGGAAACGTTGTACAAAATGGCCGAATTTCCTGTGACGAGGGACTTGGTTGATCCAGGCGCCGAATCCTCCACTTCCTCTTCCCCAGACGAGCTACTGGCGGAATTTTCTTCCTCGTCATCTACTGCACCGCGTCTCTCTGCTTGTCCACGAGTGGTTGACATCCTGCCACCAAGAGATAGGTTCCCCAGTTGTTTTGTTGGAGCCGACATGAGAACACGACTTAAGGACGGAGAAGTCGCTATTAAGGAGTACAATCACACAGTAGCCGAAAGTCGAAAATTCTAAAGCGCTTTTAGAAAACAATTCAAATACTAATGAAAGATAGCTTGAGAAGGAAGGGGGGAAATAACTGAATCTCATGCTGCTCTGGAGCTCCTTTTGTAGTTGTTCTGAAGCCGCGCAAAAGACGAAAATCCAGCTTGAAAGTGCTTTGCCGTAAAAGGAAAGTATAAAGAGGCGCACAGCTTCACAAATAGACAAATAGCAATTGCGTCCGGTTCCCAACTCTACAAGGAAGCGGATATGTTGCGTGGAGGAACGGTCAAACAGCCGCGTATCAATGGACAGTGCAGTTCTACCCTAGCCAGCATGTAGATCAAAAAGAATCGAAGTAACGGTCGCTCAAGGCCGGCCAGGGGAGATATATCAATCAGGAAACCAGGCTGGTGTCTCCGGGTCCCGCCATGCTCAGTGGCAGAGCCGGAGGGGTAGAGATGCGCAACCAATTGGAAAGCCAACCACTGCAACGGCGTTAAGTGCTAGATAAAGTACTCCGGATATGATGTAGAGTGGAATTGTAGCCTGGAGGACCCAGAAGATGTTCCATCTGCGGCACAGCGAACAGCTGGCACCCCAGGGGGCTATGAAGCAACCAGGAAAAATCATGGAGAAAGAAAAGGCAGTCGCTAGGTACCTGGGCAATCAAAGCTCCCGCCAAAATGCAGCGAGAGTGGACAAGTGTGGATTAGTATCATGTCCACTGAGCTAACTACTGCGAGCTGGGACCTAGTTGACATGGAAAAATGGATTTGTTGCCTGTCACAGCCAGATGGCGAGCGTATAAGAAGGCATCGGCAATTCCCCTTTGCCTGTCCCGACCGATGCTAGCAAGAAATCAAGGCATCAAAACCGGCCCGCGGATCATTTTGCGTTGCACATAATGATAGGATGGATGCGATGCAAGCAACGGCGCGTCTGGCGATTAGCCCCGCCGCACGTCCCCCTATCTAAGTTTAGTGAACGAGAGAACTAGCCAGGAAATCTCGCCCAAGTCATCGTTAACTTAGTTAAATGCCCGATCGGTAACTTGGAAGTCCAATCTCACCTGGAGGCTTGGAGCCAATCCCCGTTAGTTATCCCAGGCCTGCACCAAAATTGCTCTGAACGGCGCCCCTTATTTGGTTGCTGCCCCCTGTGGGTTCAACCCGGACGAGGTTGGATCAGGCTGTTTCGCGGGAGGGAGATAGATAAATCTATTCGTTCTTGGGCGGCTAAGTTACTGGATGCGGCACAGTCTTGCCTCTTTTTCCTGTAGAGGGGTGTAAGTAGTTAACAAGCCTTGCAAAATTCAGTATGGCATGCCCGAGGAAAAACACCGTACGTTGGCTTGCATCCCACTCCACAAACATTGCTGAATCATGGCTCTCTACCACCTCCATTGATCTGGGACATGGTCATCCAAGGATAAAAAAGGCGTCTCAGCCGTTTGAGTGGCGATTTGTTGGCGCGCGAAGGATCAGACAGGGTATTCGTCTGAGCACCGCTGTGCCGCAAATTGATATCCAGCAGTCCCCAGCATCGTGTTCGAACCGGAAGGCTTCCTTTCTCTCCACCCGACTGTGGCGGCGTTGATTACCCGGCGGGACACATCCAATTCTGGTCATCTGAATGTTTCGGCGCCGGAAGATCGACTGTTTTGTCCTCCCAGGACTGCCCCTTCATGCCACGATAGGCCCACGAGGAATGCCGTAAGAGCCGCGCTGCGATACACCAAGACCTTGACTCCTTGCTATATCAGACCTTTCCGCCCAGATTTCCGGAAATTCATACTCCTGAGGCTCTTTCGTTGACAATGCGTTTGTTCTCTTTGATATCACAGCCTCAGATGTCCAGGGGACGGCATCAGCCTGTTTCATAGCCGCGCTTGGAGAGCCAATGCCATCCAAGGACGGTGTTCTCCTAAACCGCCTGACCTCGATTCTACATGAAGTTCTGTGGATTGCCCAAGAGAAAATATACGTCAAATTTTACAGGATGTCCCAATCAACAACCACTATCCACCTTCAAGTCAAAATCTGGTGGCCACAATAATATATATCCCCTTCCAAACCCACCACAGAGCCGCAACCTTTAGCCACCGTTTGGCTAATCCCCGTCGCCTTTGTGGTGCAATTAGGCGACTGGGCAAATTTCAAAGGTTGGCCATGATTCAGGCACTGCGGGGCAATCGTTGGAATCATCGTGGCCCACTGCGTGGCGACTATCACCGGGTGTCTTTGTACTTCAATTAATGATATAACTACTACGCCTATTTGTTACCTTGAGCTTGTGATTAGATCATTTTGTGACAAACGGTGATTCAGAATGGCACAACGGGACTTACCATTTTGCTGCGCTCCGTTATCCGTAGCTCATTTTTGCCGTCAAACCCTGGAAAAATTTCATCTTGATTGCAATCGGCAAATTACAAGCCACCACAACTTGCCAGGGACCGCAAATGCGAGAGGTTGGTGCCGTACAAGTCTGCCTCGGGGATAGGAAGTTGATCTGTGAATGGCCTATGAAGCGCTTCCACATCAACCGCAGTCCAAAGATATGCGCACACCGATGAAGACCCAATGAACCTGATTGGGCTTTTGCAATAACTGATTATTGTTGACGGAGGCAACTGTGGACCATCATCATCTTAGTAGATGTTCTAACATATGTCCGCAGAAACTCCCAATATCTACGTGGAGATTATGCAATAGCACAAGCGGCAGCAAAACATCTACATGTGAGCACATTAACTGTTGTTGGGATTTCTCGTCCATCAAACCTCAAAAGCGGCATTCCAGTATCTTATCTTAATTACTCCGTAAATAGGGTAGAATTCTGTAAGTTGTCGTTCCATGGATCAGACGCGGAAATTTGCTATTGCTATTTTGCCCATGGAAAGAAGCCTGCTAATTTTGACAAAAAAGTTTAGCCTGTTGCCAGAAAAGCCAACTGCAAGATTGGTCTCATGAGCATAGGCTATCGAGGGGACCAAATCCACCACCAATGCCCATCGAATCACTTGACCAACACTAGATGCGGGTGATACGGGACGAAGTGAATCCCAAGACTTGAAACCTCACCCCTGCTGGCTCGGATAGTTAAGAACAAACCACGATTCGTAGCCACATACCGGCTGCTAACAAGGAAAAGGACAAAATAATGTCTTCCTTGCCATCGACTCTGGATAATGAATAACCTAAGTGCTGATCGGGAAACTTGGAAATGGCACACGGAATATGCTTTCATGTTGAAAGTTCTGCAATCACCTGGAACTGAACATGTCCCACGATTAGAAGGAATTTACAGATCGATCAGCTACTTAACTAACTAACGTGCTAGTAGTTATCGTCAGCAGCAATATTCCGTCCTCCTTGGAAGCTTCACGATGCAAGGACAATTGCCCAGCAAGCGTGTTGGGGGAAGTTAAGCCAGCACTAGTCCCACAGTTTGCTGATGCACCTCCTGCAATAGTAACTAATAATAATACAGAGAATAATAATAATAATAATAATAATAATAAGGATGTGATTCCCCTCACTAGAAGGGGCTGGATCTGGATCAAAAATGTGGAACTCTGCGTGTGGTTCCACTACGCCCGTCCGATTGAAGTCTGAAGGAGAAACAGGATTAACAGAGTTTATCATCGGACTGAATAGTTCCTGGCTTTCCTCTTGACTGCCTCTTAATACCCTCGGCCAGTGCACAGGAGATATATGGAATTCTTTTGGGGCAATGAATATATATCAAAATAGGTATAGGACATACAACCCATCTCAAAAGATATGAAAGATTGATATTGTTCGGGAAGGAAAAAGAATCTGCAAGTTATGTATGGTCTCGCATAGAGAACACTGAATGAATCAGAGCAGTTACAAATGTCGGCATCAATTAAATATGCAACCATTGGTTGAAAGTAGCCAACAACATACGTTCCGGGGAAGGACGGGTTTGTTTACTCCAATCTCAGTAACTATATCCCTTCGTGATCTAGAATCTCATTTTTAATATGATATTTCGTTCGGGAAATTTGATGAATAAATTTGAAGAAGAATGAACTGCATTCTCATGTCATTAAAAAAAAATCGGAGATAAACAGCAATTCCTATCCTTCACAAGAGCCAATGCTGGAAATCAAAATATATGGCTATCCTCCTTGACTTCAATTTGTTCCACATAGTAAGAGACTCTGTCGACTAAGTTCATAAAATGCAAAAAAAGGGATGCAGCAAGGAGCGTATTGCTGACAAAATTAAGAAGCATTAAGAAAGTAACGGAGCATAATATGTAGCCCCAATCTATGTAAGGATGGCAACGAAGGAAAAGAATAGTAGTGAGGAATCTAATAGCACAAAAGAATAAAGGCCTGGGACCTGGAAAGCAACAACTCGTTTATGATAAACCGTTCTATAATTGCTCCTATAGCAGGTGCCATCCTGGTTCCCGCTCCTGCTCCCGCTTCCTTCTCCTGTGCATTCCATAGTGATGCTCGTCTAGCTAGCAGAGAAGGGATTCGTTAAGGATCTCTGGGGATCTCTGTAGAACCCGAGCTCGTAGATTCATCGTAGTTCTCATCTACGTTGATCTGGCGTATTGGGTTCTCCGGTCGGTCTGTATCGTCCTGGTCGTCCTGGACACTCGGGCTCGTGCTGGCACGACCTTGATCTGAATTTTGACCAGACGACTGATTAATCCCCCCGCCACTATGGACTGAACCCGAGCCTGATGGAGTACGTGGATGACTAGGGTGGTCGTAATTACCAGGATATGAGGGAGTGCTGTCATTGCTTGTATTTTCAATGCATTTCGGGCAATTGCATCTCGATTGGAACAGGCGAAAGGCATTCTGGTGTGATAGTTGGCGACTAGCATATGACAAAACGAGCTCTGCGTCTTTAGGGATATTTTTTCGCGCCCAGATGATGATGCGATTCGGGACAGATGAGTCCCAATCCCAAATCACGTTGTGTGCGTCGTTGCAAAAGTGGTTGAACATTGCCACGCCAGGAAAAATATATAGATCTCTGAGTGTCGGCTCCAGCTGTCCTGTCGTGCCGTGCATACTGCTGCGAGCCAGTTTGATTGTTTGCCCTTCTGGGTGATCCAATGGTCCCCGTCGATGGGCGTCCCATGGAATAACATTCGGGACAAGCTTTCGGAGCACGGACTGGATTACCCACGTGTCAAAGGTAAGATCCCGGAAAATGTCTACCCCCAGACTTATCAGGATATCGAAGGGTACTCTAACATTTGCTGAGAAAGAAAATGGGAAATTATCATTCGCTTTTCCTGCAAATAGGGGTAGCAGCTCGTCAATTTCGTGCGCCAAGAGAGCAGGTCTTTTATCAACCTTTCGACGATGAAGTGTAATGTCAAAAACTTCTCGAAGAAGCAAACTCAGGAGCGTTCCATGACTTTCGTTTGTATATGGGAAGCACCTACGAGGTCTCATGGAATCATGCAGCCAAGTCCAATCTTTTCCACAGGCGTGGTAATGATAGAGAGAACGGGCTATCTCTAAACATGATCGAAGCTTCTTAGTTGGCGGTGCGACTGGCTCGGAGTCTGGAGATTCTGCGTCTGTTCTCTGCCTCTTCGTTGCTGCTGTCTGCGAACGGGTGACCATCCTGGTTGGAGAGGAGGATGAACGCTCATCTTCATCACTCGGTAGAGGACACCAAAATAAAGGGGTTGAGGAGAGTTTAGAGCAGCTACAGAGAGCTTTCCTACTAACTTGTTGGTTTGTTCCCAATGCTTGTCCTGCTAATACTGGCGTATCCGCCTCGATTTGCCTTTTGCAATTTTCGCAGCGATGCTCCACCTGCTCATTGGGCATAAAATTATGAAGATGCCCTCTTATGGACGGTTCATCGACGTATACAATTTCTCCCACTTCGATATCTGTAACTGCATAAACGCCAAGGTTACCCTCCGTATCTTTGTCGACGGCGATTTTCGGCATGGAGTTCACGACCTGCGATCTGCCAACGAAATGTTCAGTTATCCTCTTCTTAAACACATCAATCGTCCTGTCGACATCCTGGGCGCTATATGGATAGTCTCGTAGTATAACATGGCCATAGTTGGTTTCGAAAAAGTACTCATCGGAATTGCTCTTTTGATATTGCTGGTTAGTTTCCACGAGAGGCTTGACGAGAGGCTTGACTCTGGCCCATCGCTCCCTAATTTCCTGCGTAGCCCGATCATCCTCTACTGGCCTTTCTGCTAAAGGTCTTTCTACAGCTTCGTAATCTGACCAACAATGCAGACTGAGTAAACTTAGACTAATAATGTGATGTATGACTGTGCAGATGGTTGGAATGAAACAATTGACACCGTCCGAACCCCGTAGTAACTCAACTGCACCTGCTCTGTTGACATTCGTGGTGGGTATCTGTAATATATGCTTTTCGAGGGCATCCCAGATTCGAATGTACAACCCTGGCTGTCGGTTTCGTAATTGTGGATTTATCAAAACTTCACAAAGTATTTGGGCACGGTATGCATCTCCGATAGCAAGGTCAAAATATCCCTTCTCATAATGAAGATAAGCTCGGCTGGTCCAGTAAGTGGGGTTGTACGGGCTGAGAATTATAGCCCATGTATATATATCCATGGGTTTTAGTTCCGCTTCGGCAGAAATTCGGATCGTAAAATCATTGTTGCGACTGATTCCCCAATGTGACAAATCTTCTCGAGGTAAAAGATTTTCTCTGGAAAGCTGTTCACTGTCATGCAATCGCTGGCGTAAATCTCGAACAAGGCCATTGGGGTCTAAGTTTCGAGATCGTAGTTGCGCTTGGAGCCTCTTCTTGGTCCAGAATCGATCGGTAAGAACATTATAACCATTTATCAAGATAGGCGATGACGGTAGCTCAGGAGAAGCATCACGACTAGGGTTGTTTAAATGGAATATCTGCCAATATCGCAAAGGCTCATATCTGTCTGTCTGAGGAATGTATCGATACTGCGCATTTTCTTTGACTGGTTGAGGGGAGGGAAATAGATCCGAGTGTAAAATATTCTCGTAAACGTTTCGTGCAAGGCAAGTGCGCGGGTTATTTAAGTGTTCCGTGGATTTTGCCCGCGGATAGCTACGAAGCCTGATATTTTCATCTCCGAGGCAAGAGTCCTGAGTTGACCAAAGCTTGTACGCTTTCTGAGTGTCCTTTTGGCCAGGGAGACTTCCCCATTCGACCTCCTTAAATAGGTCAGGCCGATCGGGGAAGTAGACATGGGGTAGTTCATGGCCAACGCCCTCCTCATTATCAGATGGCCCGGCTGCTCGCTGCTGCCCTCTCCTGGAGCTGTCTGCTGTCATAGATCCTCAATGGGCAGGCCGGTTACTTGGGCAGGCTGTAGAATATCTGGAAAAGTGATAATATGACTGTGATGGGCAGTGTATGGAGCGGATCCGCCTAGGACTTGGTAGTAACCGGCAACCAATGTGGTAATCGGTAATACCCCCGCCAAGCGAGATTATTCTCTGCTTTCACAATGACCTCACTGAGCGAAGTAGTAAAAATGAGCGCATAAAAAAGTTTTTACTCCGCGAAGCTTCCGTCAGAGGGGTTT